AAATGCCAGAATAGTGGAGGTAGTAAAAGTATTGGTGTTGATTAAAAAGATTAGGCATCGAAGATACTATTTTTAAGAGAATGTGACTTAGTGAAATAGAAAGTGAAAAAAAATTATGAGGGATTGAAGAGCTCAGAATGGGAGTAAGATGGGAGTAAGGATGGATGCACCTGTGTCATTTGAAACGTCTTTTAAGTCATGTCAACCAAAGTCTGTAACCATTAGTTACTATGATCACGCGGACCCTAACCAAGTAGTCTATACGAAGCAAGAAAGGGAGAATGAGTAAGAGCAGATGAAATGTTCTAGTGTTGTATTTATGTCGGTGTGTAGTTATTGATGATGGTGTAGGGGAGTTGATTCCAGTGTAATGTTGATTGTTGTTGATAGTGTTACGCGCTGTGTATGTGCTGTGTATGAGCTGTGTGTGTATCATGTTGCAGAGGTTTAAATCGCAGTGGACGAGTTTTGAGTTCACTGAGTAAGTACCTCTAAAATTGACTGCATGTCAGCCACGATATGTGTTGATGACATGTATCGCCTTGACTTGGTACAGTATAGTTGTGAGAGGTGATATTCCTGTGTTTATGCATTTGACGTTGTGTTGGAAGATTGTGGTCAGCTGATTATTGTGTGTAGTTACGTTTGATGTTTTTCTTTTTTGTGAATTGTGGTCTATTCATCTTTCTCTTGAATCTGTTTATTTTGAATGTGAATATTTTTTAAATATTCGTCGGAATGTTTTATCACATATATGTAGTTTTTTGTTTATCTTATTTTTTGCACTTAATTTTTATGATGGTTTTTTATTTTCATTTCTATTATTTTTTGATATGAATTAATCATCTGTATTCAACTTTATGTAACCTTAACTTACGCGTGCGCTGCTACCCACTCATTTGTTTTTGTATTATGTTTTTTAACATTTAGCATCTATATTGCCCACGCAATCCCGCTTATTCCTGATGCAGCATCTAAACATGATTGAAGAAACACAGTGTTGATTTTTTTTTTTACCGTTGAACAATTGATGTGTCATAATAAATTTGATTTTGATTGTTAGCCTGAGTAAGTCCGGACAAGTTTGATTAGCGCAGTTATTTCAATTTCAATCGCTGATATTATTTCAGATATAACTTTTACAAATAAACTCTTATCTATCAACTGCTACTTTTTGTTCAAGTGTTGACCGTTGACTGTGTAACTGTAAAGTTTCAAAGGAAACGTGACTAGTATCTGTCTGTTAATAATCATCTTATAAACCATGATATCAGTTCCTGTTCCACTTATAATTTTTTTTAGATCCAGCTCACTATGTCATGATAATAAGAAACAAAGTAGGAGACTTTTGCGATAGGAACCCAAAATCATGAGTATATTTAAGCTGGAAGTCGACTGTTTGGCGTAAACTCAGTGACATTTCAAATGCACGGCAACAAAAAGAGGATTTTTGGCACCATTTTCACGTGGTAGGCGAACAAAAAAGCATTTTTGCGCATGCCTCCATTATTTCCTTATTGTTCTTAATTATGCTTAGTTTTCTGTTAGTAGGTCCAAAGACTTTATAACTCGGTGAGATCTCTCTCACGGGCGGTTTACTCACCTCTGGCTTTTGAACTCGTTAGGTAGGACTGCTGAATTATTTTTACTAGGTTAAAATGTGGAAAACGTATTGTTCTCAATCACTTTTCAGAACCGTCTACATAAATCTCTATCACCTTATCTACAGTACAATTTTCATCACTTGTAGTAATAACAGCAAGCTCTGATATACTATGATTATTCATCACGTCCATATGGTTCGTATATAAACTTGAAATAATAAGGAGGCTAAAATGCAATAAATGTCCATAAAAGAAACTGCATTTTTCAAGCTTGTGACATAAACTCATGTGAAGACCATTATGTCGTAGGAAAAAAGCATCTCACTATATTAGTGAAGAACTGTTGATAAGTCTCTTCGAAAATAGTATGGCGGAGCTTATTACGTATGAGTTTCGTCCTCCATTACTGAATGACGGCTAATCGATCCATTTGTAACCTACGACCCCAAATAACAATGAAACAGTATTCAGGCTCAGGTACCAAAGTTTACAAGTAATTAATCCAAGTATATCGTCCTTCAGTTTTTAGGTTTCCTGACCAAAAGCAGTGTGGGGTCAGGATGTCCGAAGTCAAAGGTACAAACAAACAAATCCAAAAGTTGGACAAAATAAAACAGTGAAGATATCATCCAATGTAAGGGTTTTTCAATCCGTCATATATTTTTAGTTCTTCCTGTGACAGCTATACTACAAGAACGGATTTGAGATTCGCTTAAGAGTTGGCAAATATTGATGAGTTACTCAGGTCAACTAAACTGCAACAAAGATATGCATAGTAGTATCCTGATGTGATAAAATCTTTGATTCCTATTTCAGACATCGATTCTTACTGTTAGAATAGTTAACGTAGACTTATTTTGTATACAGAGTTTTTCAGTCGCTGATTCTGTGTTAAACCTACATAAGCCATTCTAGCTTCTAGGCATAGCGGTTGACTCATTCCTCTCAAACCACATTTTAACCTTGTCGCTAATTGGCTTAAAAACATTGACTCATTTTCATATGGCCGTATGTGTGTTAACAACTCACCCTATTCATCATGTCTGTAACTTATTTTTGGTCTGATTATAAACATTAGGTCAGGCTTGGTTGAATCTAGTTAGCTCATAAGCCTTCTGCAGTGGTATTAGTCATAACCACACAATTTTGAAAGCTGAACATGAGATAACTGGGAAAGTAGATATTCAACATTAAACACTTAGAAAAGGCTAGTAATGGTGAACACGGGGATATTTAATCGATTGGGTGGCATCGCTCAGCCTCGTAGAAGTGGTCGTTCGGTATAATTTCTTCATACTCACATCGGATATATTTTATCTTAAGCCTCAATGCGTTTTTTACAGACGACAAACGTTATATCGTGGATTTTCATGATACGATGAATTAAAGTAAACAATTATGTGACTTAAACATACGATCTTATAGATTGAGTTATATCTCGACAAATCTGCAATTTTAGGATTAGGTCTGTTCTTATATCAGCATTAATAATGAACTTAGATCATAGACCCACACTGATCTGCTTTGTTTCATTTTGCTCTCTATGCTCTCACTCTATGTTTACTTTCTGCGTCTCTTGCGGGTTTCATTGATCGACAAAGTATTGTCCCTACGATTTCTGTTTTGGCTTTTGGATAATCTCGAGGTAATTTATATTACTACTTGGAGATTTAACCTATATATAACACTCAGTCAACGGGCTAATATTTATTGGAGTCAAATATAAAGGGAATAACCTCTGTACTAATTTTATATTGATGGGTGTTTCATGAGTTTGAAGCTGATTATCACCAGCTGGATGGTATGTTTCAGGTTTCCTTTTTAATAATGACTATTTGAATTAGATTTACCCAATAAGTATAGTGGTGCAGTACACTTCCTATCAGCCCCTGTAGCCGAATCCTCTGGTCCTGTCTAATGTTCTAGTTCTAGTAGTCAGCTAAAAATCAAGAGTAGTTGTACGATGAACACCTCTATTACATAGATACCTCCTCCGGGCCAACATATACCTCTTGTAACAAGGCCAGTTTACGAAAAACTCCTTCACTAAGAGTAACCATGGACTCTATTGACGTAGCTGGTAAGAAAGATTACAAGCAACATATCGACAAATCAACCGGCATCGGTGATAGAGAATGCGCTAAAATATAGTAAACTGTACAAAGCTTGCACTCCAGAGGAGCAGTTATTATTCTGCCTGACTTCTCCTTCAGCTGCACTTTAGGACAATTAGGTCTCCCTGCCAAGTATTAGTGATCTCTAGAAATTGAATGTACGTGAGCGAAGTTTTTGAGGTCTGGCACAAAGCGAAGAGAAACTCACACGGTTACGCCCGATGTTGTGAAAAGTGACCTATGCCTGCATTATGAAAACTGAAATTGAACTAAATATATTTTAAGAGCCCATGGCGAATGGAACTGAGAGTATATACACACTTGCTGAACTCATCATTCATGGTGCAACATTTCATCGGCTAGTTCTGTGGGATCGGTCAACCCGTTTTCACCACAAACTGTCTACGACTTAGCAAGCAAATGGTCGCATATAGTTACACTGCCGAATGTGAAAACCAGTCAATTATCTATAGTGCGATTTAAGGAAACTTAGAGGTAAACAGGATAGTTCGTAAGTATGTCTTTATTACAAACACAAGATTATGCCTTTCACCGAAGCTGACATTGCGAACAATGAAGTCATCACACAAGGCGTCACCCTTTTCAAATTTCGTAAACATTTTCATTTGGCATCATATCACAACCACCCATCGATTAACTGGGTTTAAACTGGCATATTAAAAAAGACAGTGGTGGGTCACACACCATAAACGCCTCATCATCATAGTATGGCAAAACAAATTGATTGGACCAAGAAAAATCTGTTCACGCACTTTTCGTAAATTTTTTCATAGAGTTTGACACAGTGTCACTTTCCGTCCCACTGTTCAAGATCAAACAAATAGAATTGTAAGTTACTCGGTTTACTTGTCTAGAGAGTTAACGGCGTAAAGTTAAGATGGTAAGCATTCATAGTTGAGGACTCGATAGGTTCCGTTTTGGCTCCTATGTTGTTCTTAATATTCATGAACGATGCCTGAGTAAATTGCATAACCTCATTTTTTATCTACTAGGTCTATGTTAAACTGTAACAGTAGTCAGACATGAAGCTGATTTATATGAGTTTCAAAGAAAACTACAATAATTATACGAATGATAGGCATAAAATAACGGTGCGAAACTCAATCTTCCGAAATGCCGAGCGATTCTGTTCCTGGCTATCAGCCTGTTCAGGACATAAGCGAAGTGCGAACTGAATCTGCAGGTAAAAGAAAGCTTGAAAAACGGCTACGGGTACCATGGCGCTACATCCAACTCCCACTCACATTAGTTTTGTAGGAAAATGTTTAACACACTAGATGTGATGGACTTGTTGAACCGTCGCCGCAGTAACTTCAATAGTGTCCATGTAAGTTAGGGTTTGCTCGTAGAAGTCACTTCTCGAATGGCCGGATCAGTCAGAATGAAATGGGATTCTTGATTTGAGTGAGATTTGAAGGTCACCAGACATAATGAGATGAAGATATGTGGAGATGCAAACACACTAAAAGATATAGTGGCAGATAACGTAGGTACGTTACAACGAGGAACGGACTCTAAACATACCCTTTGATGAATCGCACAGCACAGCATATACAAAAGTAATCTGGGGTTGGTGCTTAGTCGAATGTTTTCAGCCGGGGATGTAGGCAGTGTTTAAAACTTTCTTATACATCTAGTTAAAAGGATTTGCTAACTGCTAAAAATTAGTTGCTGCAAGTAAAGAATAGTATAAACAAGTGTTTCATAGAACCAAGGAATGAACTTCGTGAAGGCTGACTTATACGCTTGTGCTTTCGCCCGCAAGGTTGCAGGGGAATATAACAACCTCTGTATGACACACTGAGCACTCAAGTTAGCCTTATAGTTTATCTTACTGTCAACGACCAGTCTCGTGCTCGGAAATGTGATAACTGCTTGATCTAGAAACCTCATTGACACAGAATAAATGTACTGGTCTGCAGCCAAGAAATATTGATTCACATTCCGTTGTCAAGTTTACTGGCTTCTAGATCACCTAAACCGGAAGACATCAACGACCTGAACCTACCGTAACGTCAAGAAGCGAATACAAATGCAGCAACCACTTCACAGTAATTTGTCACAAGGATATTGAATCTATTAGATACATCCACTGGATTAACATAAAATCTATAATGCGATATAAAATCATTGAGAGGAAAGCCATGTATCTGAACAGTTAACAATTAAGAGCAGTGGGAATTTTAAATAGACAAGGTGTAGCGTTACAAATATTACGTCTTACGTTATCAACGTCTCTTTTTTATTGCAGGGCAGCAAAGAGTAATCGTACTGGAAGAAGACAAACAAGCCTTACGTGAGATGAACTTGTTGAACGATGGATAAAAATATTTTGTAATAAGTTTTCTTTTTTTGTACCCGAACCGCATCCTTCAATCTTTAAAACTATATCTATTGTCAGTACGCCGCGTTCTTACTTCAGAGACATTTACCGGTCCGGAATGTTGCGTTGTTGTTTCAGATCGCTCCTGCTTCCAAGTAAATGCCAATATTACGTGCTACAATAGACATAGTTTATTTTTATGCTCATTAATGAGCAATTGTGTAATTTTCTGATTACTCACCATTCTTGAGGGAATATACAGATGATTGGCTTATAATAATGTTAAACACGTTTCTGATATTGGCAACTCAATAATTAATATATATTATGATTGCCTGCGCAGCTACCCTTATTGCTTTTGGGTAGATTTTGGGGAACCGCAATAAAAAACTTTGAGGAAATAGCTCAAAAGCCAAAAGATTCTACAAGGTCTGGGGATTATCCTTAAAGTTTTGATGGAGCCTTGGGTTTTGCCCCTAAATCTTAAAACACTGGGGTTTTCCCCAAAATCTTAAACTTTGTGGAAGACTACCATATTTTTTACAACTTTGGGAAAAACCGCAGAATGTACCCAAAGTTCCCTAAAATAGTAAGATTGGGTTAAAAACTAGTTCACTTGAAAGGAAATTCGAAGAAAGTTCAAAAAGTGAGATCGAATCGTCTATGTCTGGAGTTTCGTTTCTCTCACCGAGTTGTGAATTACTGGAATTCTCTACCAGAACACGTAATTTCAGCACCTGTAGATATATATTCTAAAAGAGATTGGATCTTCACAGTTTTAAAAACTTTAGGGATTAATATAGGTCGATAGGCCTCCTATCTTTATTACTGAAGAATGAACTGTCCATTTTGTAAATCAACGATGTCCTTCAGTTGCAGTGTTGATTCATCAGATAGAGACATCGGACGGACAACGTTGTAATTTTTTTGTTGGTATTGTGCTTCAAGTGTTAAACATATATGGAGGGGAAACATGTCCTATTGGACTATCGGCCTATAGCATTGTGGTCAGTTTCTCGACCACTGTTACAAATTTTCCCTCATTTAGCCAAACAAGCCTATCGAAGTCTAAATTCAGATGGTCTGTGAGATTTAAAGTATTGCCTTCAATTGTATCTATCTGTAGTGCCTAATAGCTCTTTAGTTAACCACCCTCACTCCAAAATCCGATACCAGGAATGTTCTGCTTCCTGCCCGTTCCGAAGAGATTATTTTAGGTTGTCATAGTCAGTATATTATTGTAAGGTAAAACGAATTGTCACGCCTGGTACTATATTACACATGTCATAAGTGATGGTCTCAACCTTTAGTGGGATGAGTGTAATATTGAGGACTTAGTAAATAACCTAAAGACTCCACATATTCCATTACCACATAACCATATGAACAGTGATTTCACCTGTTACAGTTATTTATTTGTCAGTCAGCGTGGCCACTATCAAGTTGTGGAAATAAGCGCTATCAATTGGTAAATATGAAACTAATTGACTTACAAAACCGGTGTAATTATTCAGTAGTCCAGGGTATGTGTAGGAATTCGGAAACGAACCCCTACACTGAGTAGGACACATGAGGAATGTTTAGGGTACATAACACCTATTTAGAGTTTAAAATCACCAGACATAATCGGCTACCGACTTTTTTAAAAGAATATTAAAGATTTATCAGTTTAACTTGTTTTTACCAACATTCTTACTAATGGTTGTGTCAGTATCTCGGGGACTAACTGGTCTGTATTCGACGACTCAATCGACTTTTTGAAAATGGAAATACCTACCTATAAAGGAGGATGTTATTAATACATTAAAGCGCACAAAAAACTAACCTTTAATTGCTTGGATCATGTTGCACGATCTGTCCAGACTCGTTAATTATGGTCGAGTTATCTTTTGGATGTTTGATTTATTGATTATTAAGGATGCTAGATTCTCGGCTTGGACAAACCACTTGTTTGTCTTATTTAAAACAGGTCAGTGGTGTTTCCTTTCCAACTCATTTTTTCCGCTACCATTTTCCTTTAAAAATAACCAAATACATTGGTTAGATAGACTTCAGACATTTTTTCTCCTGATTTTTGATTATTTCCTACTTCATCCTTTGAAATTTTTTATTTTGCAGAATTGTGTAAGTGATGCAGAACCAGTCTGTAAACCAATCAAATAATCATCAAACAAAACGTAGTTCATATGCAAATTACGGTAAACAGTCTCAGAATTCAATGTCTGGCCAACAACCACACCACCAACAACAGGTTTGGCCGTCGTCTTTGCCAACAGGTTGGAGACGTGAAGAATGTATGCGACCTAATGGATTAGGCACTGGGAAATCAGATGTTTATTATATTAGGTAGTCTATGTATTACTAGCTAATCTCAATAATTTCTCTTCCCCCCATATTGTTTGGCAGTCCTCAAAATCAAATTGTACGAAATAAACAAGAAATGCAAACAATTTTAGGTGATAAATATGATATTGGTCTGTTTGATTGGAGAATGGGTAAATTTGCGATGAGTAACAACAACAGTAATAATAATGCCAATAAGTCGAAAAGACTGGAAGAACCGACTGCAGACACGTCATCAGCATCGTCACCAACAGCTAAAGGTATAAATGTTTTGTTAAACTTTACTTATAATCTTAAGTTCCGCGTGTAGATAATCAGTGTAGTTTACCAATGAGAAGGTGTCCATTCCCAATAACAAATGACATTAAACCGGTTATTGTACGTTCTCATCCTGAGTGTAAACGAACAGATGTAAAGAATACCAATCAAGAAACTCCTCATCAGGTAAACATTCGAAAAATAATTGACTTTACCACAAAATGAACTTTAGTTATTTTGGGAAAAACGGTTAGCTGATCATGTGGCTATTGATCCGGATACTGGCGAATCTTTCAAACCCATTTCTTTGCCTAAAGGAATACAGAGTAAGTATCACATATGACTCACTTGTGTATAGATTGTTATTTAGTATTTGTGGTTCATTTTGATGATGTAACTGTGATGTATAATCCTGTGAGTTTCTTAGTTATGAGGATAATAAGGGTAATATCATAATGAAAGGTAATTTTAGTCGTTACCTTAGCCTCCTCATTGACCACTTGAAGTAGAAGGAGCTCGTGTACCGATAGGTATAAGGATTTTGATCATTGTCCAAGTTCGGTTGCGTTATGGGTCAAGAGAAAGTGTTCTGATCAGTGGGGAGTTTACTAGTTATAATCAGCCTTTATATTCAAATGATCTGTTCAAGCAAGCAATATACAAAAGTTTGAATATATAACAGTAAATGTTTACTTTGGAATATATTTATATAAATTACTCTTCTCTTTCCCTCTTATGCTAGGTGCTGGAGTACCAGGTTATCAACCTGCTCAGTTAGTCCATAGTTTAATTCATGCGTTGTCATCATCATCCTCTAAGATTTCTCCGATTATTGGTCAAGAGCAACAACCTTCAGCTATTGAGAAAAATCCTTGTGTTGTTATTAATCATTTACAACCAATGATTAAAGTATGTTTTTTAATAGTTATGCATTCTTTTTGTTGTTATCTATCTCGACCAATTTATTTCGTTAACTACAATGACTTGTAGTCCTCAAGCAAATCAAATGAGATTTGTATGGCGCATATATATCTGGTGCTTTCTTGTACCAATATTTATGTGTTTAAATAAATAAATAAAATAAATACAACGACTTGAACTGACTGAAGTTCAAAAAGTAAACTAGTAAATTCTAACTTGGCAGTTTAAAGTTTAAGCACTCGCTGTGACTGTAAAGGTCATGGGTTACACTTCCGATAGGGTCGTGAATGTCCACTGTTAAGGAGTCCAATACCAGGACAAAATAAGTGCCCAGTGCCTCACTGTTTTCACTAGTTGTCCAGGTCTAGTTCTTTATAGGGACCTTAGAATCGATAACTTGAGCTGATAAATATTCTTGTCAGATGTCATTACATTGACTATAACTGACCGGCGGAGCTGTGCAATTCACCAGTCTAAACACACATACTGGTCAATCCAAGATTTATGGGTTTGGATATTTTTCCTGTTTATCTAAAGCATGGAGATAGATAATCTTTGCCACAGCCAACTGACTAGTCATGTGGCATATGATTACTGTTGTTTTCCTTTTATGTTTTACTTGGTAGCTATAAAATATGACAACCAGAGCTCCCCGTCACATGTGAAGAACTGGCTTTGTGGTTGTAATGCGTGTTCAACTTTCAGCCACCTTATAAGTTACAAGTTTGAGTCCCGCTCCACCTCTTTTGGTTTGAACATCCAAATATTCATCTTTCACCTAAAAAATTCACGTTCCTCGCTGTCAAATGGTCTGTTTTTCTCCATTAAATGCGAATTATTTCCTCTGAACAACAGATATCCGAATGCAATAACAACCAGTTAAAATAATAACTCACATCTTTTAGCTTGTTTGTCTTTCTCTATATTAGTTTCATTTAATGACTCAATTTTAAAGTTTGAAATCTGTAAAGTATGTGACGATATTTCGCTAATGGTAGCATGTTTGAGATGCATTTCTCACCTAAATGAACAAACGTTGTTTCGGAACTAGTCTTAATCATCACAAGATTGCATACTACTAATAAGCAATCTTGTGAGTCTGATCTTCCGAATAATCTCGTCTTCTTTTCTAAAAAATCCTTCACTAGACATTTATTGTAACCGATGACGACATACGTCGACAAGAAGCTCGTGTCAAAGAACTGCGAAAAAAACTAGAAATTGCAAGAAAAAAATTACATCCGGTAAGTGTGCTTTTACTTTGTTCAATGAAAAAAACAAGTAAAATTATAGGAATAAAGCAGTCAGAACTGAGGAAATTACTTTTCAGTTGTTTTCTTCATAATAAAGGAAAGAATGACTCATCTTCTTTTTCAAAGTTGAAATCGTGAGTCAATTGAAGCCAGACCACCATCGAAAACCTGGAAGCACTGGACGGCCGTTTCGGTTAAGGGCTCTGGCTCGTAACTGGTAGGTCCTGGGTTTGAATCTCGCGAGTGCGGGATCGTGGATGCGCACTGCTGAGGAATCCCATAATAGGACGAAACGGCCGTCCAATGCTTCCAGGTTTTCGATGGTGGTCTAGCTTCAATTGACTCATGATTTCAACTTTGAAATATACTGAAATCTCCACAAATCCCCTTCTGACTCATCTTCTATCACATGAATAACAAAAATATTTTTGTGTGATGCTCAGATCATTTGAAATTGTTAAGAATTGTTCTTTTTGTGGTAAAACTGTTCTATATCTACAGTTTCTTAACCAGAACATCGCCATCATCTTTAAAAAGGGCCGGAGGTAAGTCATCTTGGTCTAGTAATTCGTGGCGCTTCAGGAGTTGGAGTTCCTTGCAAATTTTTTGGTGGGTTGGTAGCTCATCTTCAACCTAACTCAGTTTAATGTTTAGTCGCAACATAAGCAACAGTCAATTTTCTGATATCGATCAGTTTTGGATGATAATTTTATTGGCCACTGTAATTTAAGGTAAGATTAGCTCAAAAAAAGTCATGATCAGAGTCCAGATAGATAGGTTCTCTATAGAAAAACTAACAGTTTTGTACACAACCATGCCAGCGGTAGCTGATCGCGATATGGTCAGTACGAGTCCATGCTTGGAATGCAGAGCGAGGACACCTAGTAGCACATCGGTAATGACTGTGCCGACAGTTAGTGCTAGTCAGGAACAGGTTGTAGTCCGCACAAAGTTCCCTATAAATATATTCTCTCGAAGAGTAAATACCATAAAATGTCGACTACACTTATGATCTTTACAACACGTATGAAAATAATTTATACTGCATTAGTATGTAGTGTTTATTTGGTGTTTGTGCACGCTTTAATCTACATGAATAGTTTTTCAACTGTATCTAGTATGGTTTTTGTTACAAGTATTGTTGGTCTTGTGTTTAACTCCGTTCACGGTCATAGATAAACATGTTATATATAACTGATTTTTATTTCTCCCTGACATCTCACCACACGTAACTTAAATTTCCGATTTATTTTGAATGTACCCTGTATGTTCACTTTTCTTCTTCTTCTTCTTCTTCTTCTTCTTCTTCTTCTTCTTATTATTATTATTATTATTATTATTATTATTCACTAGTTTCTATAGGTCGTTTCACAGATTTCTAGTGAGAGCCTGTGACCAATAGGATTCAATCCTGTTGAGCGTGAGGCAGTTATGCCCCAATAATAATGGCACTGGAAAGTGGCCATACTAAACCACTAATTGATAGGAGTTGGAAATGTAAACGCCAACTCAGTGGTCTATAGTTTAAGTGCTCTTTGTGATACCTGAAGTCCTTGGGTGCAATCTCTAGTGAGCTTACTGATTTTCACTGCTGAGGACTCGCGTTCTTGGACGAAACAGCTATATAATGGTTCGTGGCTTTCAGTGATTATCAAAGTAGTGCCAATGTGAACGATAAAACTGAAAAACTGAATTTCATTTTAGTAGGACGTTTAACATAGGTTATGTAACTAAGATGTCAAAGTTTTATGATTATTGGCCTGTCTATTTCGAATTCCTAAATTTGATGATTTTGTTATGTTTTTCTGTTTCATTATTTCAGCGATATGAAACTGAACGAGAAGGATGAACATATTTGTATCTGTTTATCAGTCAGCAAACAGTTGTTTTTTTGTTATTATTAATACCTCTCTTTGTTATTACCCGATTGTATAAACGGTTATAGTACTGTTCACTTCAGTATTGTTATGTTTTTCTTGTCAGGGTTCTATTTTCGTTTTAAGCCTTTTGTACAAAAATAATGATAAATGTATGTTCTATGTGTGCATGTGCATAAAGAATAGTCTTTGGTACTTTTAATACATCGTTTTTCCAATTACTATTCTTATATTATCGCTCTATTTTGGTCAACAATGTAGTGGTTAGTTCATGTTTTACCGGTTATAAATTCGCCGTACTTAACTTCGAATCACATTTTAGTGATGCCACCAATTGTTTGCCTAAACTAAAATAGCCATTATGGGATTTAAGCCAACGGCTACATGGCTGAACACCTTAACTATTAAGCCGCCGTTCCATTTGCCATGATTATATTCAGTTTTAAAATAGGATCTAGGGTGTATTATTAATACGAGGTTGGATCTTTTATATATATCAACAAAGTAACAACCGTACATTATTCAGATTAAACTTTTCAATAAAACTTTTATTCTCCTAAAAATATTTTACGTTACTCCAAAAACAATAGTAATCAATACACGGACACATCAATTTTACGCGTAATTTTTAAAATGATGGTCCCATGAACTGCTTGGTGCTCATTAAATAAACGGAAAAATGATAGTGATTTCACACATATTGAATACTGATGATCAGATGCACTAAACACTCATGGATACGTAACCTATCCCATCCAATTTATTTAACATCCCTATCAAACATCAGAAAGTTTCTTAAATGTGATGAGATTCATTGAGGTGAAATAAGAACAATTAACTTAGCCTAAGATCATTGGTTTTTTCGAACATATTTGAGGTATATTACTTCAAATTAGACTGAACCTACCGAACACAGCGTAGCATATATTTATTATCAACAAGTGAATGTCTCTCGTGTAACCAATGATTATTAAATAGTATTGTGAAGAATTCACTTTTGTCTTGGCTGATTTCACTAGCTTTCTACATCTGGAGTTGATTTGATAGGTAACTGATTTCATTTATCTGGATGGGGGCTTGTGTCTTTTTTGAGAGCCTGTTTTAATGAAGTGTTTTATTATGTGTCATTGTTTCCTAAAACAAAGAGTTTGGTAGTTGTATGTTAACTGTATACATCTAATGTGCAATGCATAACTGACCGAGGTGACCACTGATTAAAGCAGATGTATGTATGGTGCGAATAATCTTCCACCTTTCCTGATACGTATATAGCTACCCCTCTGGTTAAAGATATTCTATTCGGATGATTAAACGCCTGAATGGTGTCTAGCCCGTCTGAAAATTAGCACACTGATAAATTACCCTCTATTGAGATAGTTATGAATAAGGTAGTCATTTGCTAATTAATTGGATGTGGTTGACAGACAATCGAGGGCCCAGGTTTCGTGCTATTTTTCACTCGTCTGCAAGGTGTACCTGTAGTCTCGAAGGACTTATTGCTCACTGGTGGGTGCAGTCCCATGTCACCGAACTCCCCAGCTTGAGACTTTGCCATTAAGCTATTTATGCTGCGATTGACCTGTTAGGCGGATACATTTACATGGATTGGTGCCTGAGCAATGACAGATGTCATGTATGTCCAGTCTCTTAATGACGATCGAAGCTGAATGACGTGGGATCGGAACCGTTACAGAACACCAGTTCCCTGCAAACTACATATACATGTCCCTGATGTGTTGCGAGTAGCACGAAACTTATGTCCAAGATTTTTTATTCACTACCTCCAACATATCAACATAGTTTACGCTATACTTCCTACATTGTAAAGTAGTCGATAATATCCAATTAGTTAAATTCAACGACCAATAAGTTGTATGCTGTCATATGCTTTCCTATCTAAGGAATATATATATAAGTTTACACGATGGAATTAAGAACGATTCACTAAACTAATTATGGTTCCTAAGATCATGGTCGGTTAATTGAAATAACTCTAGCATCAATACACACCATTTTACTCTGATTCGCAAGATAGCAGGTAAATTTTTTAAAACAACATGAGATTAATATTTCAGTTATCTTTTAATAACAAAAACATTAATGCATACTCCTGAGAGAAATAAGACAATTCGATGTTCTGAGTGGCGAAGAACAGTAACAACATTCGGTAAATACACAGTAAAAAATAGACAGAGGTCAACCAGATAATCATTTAGAATAGAAAACATTAACAACCCTTTGAAACGCCACTCAATTTCTTATCGGAAATTCAACCGAACATGTGAGTTTAACTTAACTGATAAAAAATAACGATAGAAATGCATCAGTCAGGCTTAATCAAAATTAACATATACAATTTCATTTGTAAATGTTAACATTAAACATCTGTAATATATGGATTGTAATCATAATTATTATTGTTATGTATATCTGTGATTGGTAGGGCGATACTATTATTTTTCATCGTGTGTTCTGTGCACAATAATCGGTCAGATGATTTCGATTCATTCCGATTCAATGTACTCAGTACGACATGATGATCATCTCCATGTGTCAATCTATTTTTATCATGTTTGTGTTTTACTTGTCTTTGGTTGTGTGATTTTGAAGTGTTCATTGATGATCCAAACGTCGGTGAAGATGATTTGGATGATATCAATGATAATGATCCATTCGAAGAACCAGATGCGGATTTTCCGTGATTTGATGGTATTGGGGGAGGTGGTGGATGTTTATTAGTATTATTTTGTTTGATTGATAATCTGTTAAGAAATTTCGCTTCAGGATATGACGACATATGGTAACTTATACATGATGTTGTTGAGTTGGACAAACTCAATGGTTCTTGTCTAATCTGATCACCGGATTTAAGATAAGCGAAAGAACTAATTCTCGGTATATTTGGTGGTGATTGTAATGTTGATCCTAATGTTAACGGTTGTAAGGTTGATGTTGTTGTTGATGGTTGAGGACAAAGAATAGTTGACATTTTCGTTGAATAAACATTACGATTAGAAAATGAATCTTTCAATGATGTATGAAATTCGCTACCCGGTGTACTATGACGTATACTTGATTTAAATTGTTTTGGTTGTGGACGTTTCATCAGTAAAACAATAAGTATGATTAAACCAATCAACGCGACACTGAGAAGACAACCTAATACCAGTGTAGTCAATCGCACATTAATTAAAGGATAGTAGTAAATTGGCGGAGATGCTAATATTGCCAAGTAGGGGAGGACGATGTAGAGAAATGGTAAGAAAATTGATGAAAAAAAAGAATTATATCAATCACTAAAATTGTATAATTTATGGATTGTTAACGTTACAAACTGATCTCAGTTGTGTTACAACCAAAGGTCATGGAGTACTGGAATCTTGGTAAGTCCTAGTATGGAACTCTACACCAGTCGCCATAGAAGACTCCTCCAGGGGTTGAATGCAGGACCGTGTGTTCTCGCTCTAAACACTTATGATTTCACAACCACAGATTCGGTGTCAAATAGTACACTTCCGAATTCAGTCAATTTACAATATAGCCCAATAATAACCCGATAATGTCAAGGATAAGTCCGTTGGAAACCCCTCCAGTGGGTTACTGCCGGTCCCAAGCCTGGATAAAGGAGGAGGGTTGGGCATGGAGTCAGCAACCCCATCCCGTAGAAAACTAACTCGCTAAAAAAACGCTAACCAGAAAAAATTATTTAAACTCTACCCTGGGAGTTAGAATTTCTTCATTTAGAAGAGTTATGACACCTCATACTGAAAGCCAACTCCCTTCGGAAGCCACGAGGTGGATGCCCATTCCCACAACCAGAAAGAACATTTATTTAGATACATGGAATCCTCGTACAATGTGGGAGACCGGGAGAGTCTTCCAAATTGCCGCAGAAATGAGGAGATACAACTTGGAGGTGCTTGGAATCAGTGAAACACATTGGACGCAGGTTCGGCAACAACGACTAGCTTCAGGGGAGCTGCTGTTATACTCCGACCATGAAGAATAAAATGCCCCACATGCACAAGGAGTTGCATTGATGCCGTCCGAACAAGCACAAAATGCACCTATAGGATGGGAATCTCATGGACCAAGGATCATCAAGGCCTCCTTCAAAACAAAGAGAGAGGACATTACAATGAACGTCATCCAATGCTATGCACCTACCAACGACAACAACGAATACGTTAAATATCAGTTTAATGATAGGCTGCAGTCAATCGTCCAGAAGTGACCAACAAAGGGCCTGGCCATTCTGATGAGATATTTGAATACCAAGGTTGAAATGGACAACATCGGATATGAAGATATAATGGGACGACATGGACTGGGAGAAAAAAATGAAAGTGATGAGAGATTTGCAAATCTATGTGCCCTCAATAAACCGGTCATAGGCGGCACTATATTCCCACATAAACGCATTCACAAAACCACATGGACGTCACCGGACCACACTATGCAGAACCACTATATCTACATCAACAAGAAGTTCAGGAGGAGGATGGAAGATGTGAGAACCAGGAGAGGAGCTGATATGGCATCAGATCATCACTTGCTGGTCGTCAAGATTAAATTAAAGCTTGAGAAGCACTGGACAACGAGGTGGACAACATCACAAAAGTTTAATAAGGCTTTCCTTCGGGATACTGACAAACTCAACAAATTCAAGATAGCCCTCAACAATAAGTCTCAGGCCTGTTAGGATCTACTCAATGGAGGGCGACTAGAAAGGGATCAAGGAGGCAATCACTTCAACATGTCATGAGGTTCTGGGCCACAAGAAGCACCATCACAAGGAATGGACCACTGTTAGTAACTGGGTAAGATTGCAGAAAGGAGGAACAAGAAGGCATTAATCAATACCAGCAGAACTAGAGCAAAGGCGGAATATACAGAAACAAACAAGCAAGTGAAGTGGAGCATCAGAACCGACAAATGAAATATGTGGAATATTTAGCAATGACTGCCGAAA